GAAGAGCAAACAATTTAAGCGTGTCACTGTGCCTCTTACGACTAGTTACGAGACGAGTAGAACCGACGCTTTCGTGCAGGTCCACCGTGGTTGAAGGAACGTCAACCTTCGAATGCTCTTCGAATCGGTCGTGAACCGAGATCACGAGATAAAGGCGAATCCTTAATGACAGTTGGATCTTTTTTAATTTCCATCATTTAGATTCCGATTTGAAGATACCGTCTAGAACGATACCTGATAGATTCCCGTAATTATTTATAAGACGATTTTTATGGTCACCCAAGACGAGGTGACGATTGTAAACGAGAATTATGAGAAATCTGCAAACGTGGGATAAAAATGAGAAGACAGGATCCTGACAGAATCTGCTCGAGGTCTGAACCGTTGAATTAGAGATTAGACGACGTTACATGGGATTATTCAATAGGTAAAATTTCGAAACCTGCCCCTTTAAGGCAAATTTCAAAGTAATGTGTCTCTGTGGAATTAGCATTTTATTGAATGATTTATGCGCTGTAGCTTGTCCGCTATTTTTGATCATTTTTCTGGGCCAAGTTTATGATTACTCTTGCAAAAGAGTTTTGTACCGTTTGTATTATTTTTTGAATATTTTTCTTGCTGAAAATAACTCCATGGAAATTAAAATAAGTGAATTGGACGATGATACTTAACGAATGGAATAGCTGGGGTTAGACCTTAAGCTGGTGTCCACCATTTTGTGTCTCTTTTCCATTGGCACGAAGATCCTAACGCCATTTTGTTAATATGAAAATTATCAGGATAGGCGTAAAATAATAATTAAAATAAGATAATGTAGATAAATGAAGTCAATATTAGTTTTAATTAAAAATAACTGGGTATCTCTGATAATAGTAAAAATAAAATACCTGAAGCTAGTTACTTTAACAAATCTGGTGATTCTAGTGCCGAGAAATGAAGGTAAATTTTTCCTCTTAATTTCTATTTTTATATTTTTCCAAATTTCTTGTTTCGTCATCCAATCTCACTAACCTAACACATAATATTCATATTAACACACATATTACATATCAGTGTACATATTAACACATGTAAAAAAATATTGACGACGAGGAAACACTCTGAGTCTTTCTTTTAACTATACCGAGTATCCTGAATGAAATCCTAACCAAATAAGGAAGAAACGTTGAACACGTATAGAATAGAAACGTACAACGAGACATTTTTTATTATGTCATGAATATCTTTGCATTAAATATTGTACGATTATGTAATTAAGTGTATATAATTAAAGCTCCACGAACAATTTAAACGCACGTATATGCTAGGATTCAAAATTCACAAAGAAATACGGCATTCGATGTTCTACACAATTCTATACTCGTAATCGTGTTAAAATTCGCTTTCTTCGGATACAATACTAAATGGAGACAAATTATGTAAAATGCAATTACATAAATCATCGGATAAATATTAATCATAAGTGGAGAGATTAAAAATTGTCAAAGGCTAACAAGATGCAAAGAGACCCATAGGTTCGCAATTTTAAACTGGAACTGCAAAAAAAAAGTTTTAAAAAAAGGGAACAAAAATAAAACACTCGACTATCGTATAATCCCCCATAAAAATCCCAATACCTAAAACTAAAATGTGTGTATAAATACACCCTTCTTACAAGGTACAAAAATTTAATAAATTCGACTCGTCGATTCCAAAATTAAATTTCCTATATTTTCAGAAATTGAAAAAAAGTTTATAAAATTGAACGAATTATAAATAAAATTAAAAAAGGAATAAAATCCGCAATTATCGTATAATCTCCATAATAAATTCACCGATAGATGTACAAATATTTAATAATCAGGCCCAAAATTAAATTTCGTAAATTTTCAGAAGCAGAAGAAAAATTTATAAAAATGAAGAAATTATAAATAAAAATAAAAAAGGAATAAGATCCGTAATTATTATATAATCTTCAAAACAAATTCACCAATTAGATGTACAATTATTTAATAATCAAGTCCAAAATTAAATTTCCTAAATTTTCAGAAATTGAAGAAAAATTTATAAAAATGAACAAATTATAAATAAAATTAAAAAAGGAATAAAATCCGCAATTATTGTATAATCGCCACAATAAATCCACCGATAGATGTACAAATATTTAATAATCAGGTCCAAAATTAAATTTCCTAAATTTTCAGAAGCAGAAGAAAAATTTATAAAAATGAACAAATTATAAATAAAAATAAAAAAGGAACAAGATCCGTAATTATTGTATAATCTTCCAAATAAATTCACCGATAGATGTATAAATATTTAATAATCAGGTGCAAAATTAAATTTCCTAAATTTTCAGAAGCAAAAGGAAAATTTATAAAAATGAACAAATTATAAATAAAAATAAGAAAGGAATAAGATCCATAATTATCGTATAATCGCCACAATAAATCCACCGATAGATGTACAAATATTTAATAATCAGGTCCAAAATTAAATTTCCTAAATTTTCAGAAGCAGAAGAAAAATTTATAAAAATGAACAAATTATAAATAAAAATAAAAAAGGAACAAGATCCGTAATTATTATATAATCTTCAAAATAAATTCACCAATTAGATGTACAAATATTTAATGATCAGGTCCAAAACTAAATTTCCCAAATTTTCAGAAGTTCAAAAAAAAAAAGAAAATTTGAAAAATTGAGAGAAAAGGGAAATAAGAGGTTCCTTTCCTTTGTTCCTCGATATCGAGACAGCTAAATACCATGATATCATAGCACATGCATAAAACTTGTGAGTCAGCTGTTGCCCACTTCCTGCAGGGAAGGAAATTTGGCAGTGATCCCTTGCACGGGCTAAGATGGATTAACTTATGCATTCGGTTCGCGTACTCTGGCCAAGGCTGCAGAGATTCGTTACACGGCTGAATTTATAACACACGCGAAATACGAAAATTCGCACAAAGGGATCACCGGGTCAATGGAAGCATCGAAAATGAACTCCATATTTGGCAGGCCTCTCGCGGATTCGCCTTACCTCAAAACGCATTTCGAGCCATGACATCCGGCCTACTGTCCTTTTTCCCGCCATCTCGAATCTCCCACGACCTTTCGAAACGTCTACCTTTCGTGAAATTTAAAATTCGAAACTGGAAAAACGCGAGAAAAATAAGGAAAATCGAAGAATCTTCGTAGTCGAGATTTATTGGATCAAAATTAACCCCTTGCACCCTGGATTTCTTTTCCCATTTTCTATTTGCTAATTCTCGTCCTTTTATTCGACTTGCTTTTCGAAAACTCGATCACGAGTTTTATCTGGAATAAAATTTTATTTCCGTACTTAATTTTCCTGTGCTTTTCGAAAGACTTAAATAAATTATTTCGGTGGTTATATTGGTAATATGTATTTATATTGGAAATTATAATTCATATATAAAAGATCAAATATCGCTGGAGAACTGCAGAGGAGGTTGCAATGAATTCGATAATTAAATACCGATAATATTGCGGTGATAAAATAGTACGAATTAAGGGAATTGATTTCCGAAGGGACGAAGTTTTATGAATTATTGGCAATTAAAATTGAAATTCGTGTAATAACGATTTCGGTGGCTCTATCTTTCAATGGAAAAACGAATAGGTATTTGATAATAAATGGAAAATTCGTGTAGCGTAGTTCATGCGAGTGTAATATAGTTCAATTAAGCTCGAAGAAGTTCCTTATTTCAATTTTATTCCTCTTAATTCGGGTTGAATTATTTAAACATTTTTATAAAAAAAAGTAAACCAGTTTAATTTTTTTTTCAAAAAAGGGTGAGTAAAAAGGAAAATATATAAATTCTGTAGTAGGTATGTGATAAAATGAATAATGTAATATAAATTGCATGTTATATGTAATTTATTTAAGGTGAGAAAAATTTTCTAACCTTTATGGATATCCTCCAGGGTGTTCATGCCCATCCTACGCCATGTTGTAACAATGGGATTTTTCCTGACAACGAAACAATAAATTTTCCATATTAAACACTAGAAACTTTTAAGAAAATAGAAATTATGAAATAAAGTTGCAAATAAAGTCACAAGTCAATCTCGATCGATCAAAATTTAAATAAAAGACGAAATTACCCCGTACCTCTAAATAATTATTATATTTAAAATAATAATTATTAAAATTAACTATCCTCTTGTACTCGTTGAAAAAGACAGAATTTTCAAAATAAAAAGAGAATCAAGCATGATTCGAATTATTTCGAATAAATATTTATACAAATATTTATTCGAAATAATTCTCTGTATTTGTATATATCGATATATTTACCATCCTCTTCATCGTTTCTCAACTGTAATACCAAAAATAAAAATACTTCTTTCTTTTCATTTAAAATTATTGCTGTTATTCTTCTTTTCTAAATTATTCATATATTATGTATGTATTATTTATATATTTATACGTAACTGTCTTCAACCACGAATTTTCCATGAAACAATCCCTCTTTCCTTCTTTTGTTATTTGCTAATATATTATATTTTTGTTCTCAAGTTGATCGTATAAATTATACTCACGTACCAAACCGGTTCGCAGCTTTCTTCGAGCGCGAATTTTCCAAGAAACAAAAATCTCTCTTTTCTTCCCTTTTCATCCACCATAAGCGTTACCCTTTTTCCCGAATTAACCATATTAAATTATACTCACGTAACACGGTGGTCGGCAAACTTTCTTCGGTTTTCAAGTCGACGCGAGACGCGAATCTTTCCTTTTCTCAACAGGCCTCATAAACATGTCGCCGGACACGGTGTTGTACGTTGACGGGACGCCGCGCGTCTGTACTCCGGCCCGAGTACATCTTGGCCCCCCTATTAGACCCCCGCCTGAAAATTTCGTAATGTTTGCCGGTGTCTAAGCCCCGGTCAGAAATCTATCAATGAGAGAGAGGTCCTCGCACCTCGCAAGGTTTCGGCAGCGCTATATAAACGCGTCCATTAGACTAGCTCTTTACAACCAGAAAACAACTCCGGTCAACATGAACACTTTGGTGAGTCCTGCTCGGTATCGGATAGTCTGGCTACCGGATTGCTAACAGCGTGTTTTCTTGTTTCGGTGATTTTATTACTTACTTACAACGCGTACGTCTTGTAACCAGCTTACAAACGAGTTTCATTCTTTAACGAGTTAATAATCCCGCGGAATTTCCGATTTTAATGGCTTTTTACGACTTCGGTTCAGTTAAGTTCACGGGTGTTGGGATAATTCAGTTTGTGCGAATATAAAGTCTTTCTTTGTGATCGGTGTCGATGAGTTTTGGGATCGGTATTGATTCGCGGGTTAAGTGCGTATAATATGGCACTGATTTGTGTAAGAACGTAATAGCGAAAGTTAACCTATAATTATTTCTTGATCGACCAATCGACTCTTCGATAATCGACTAATCCATACCTAATAAGGAATCGTATCTGAATTTATTTTTCTACTAATAATGGAACTACCAAGGAGGATACATAATCGGTTTTGGATATTTGTTTTAAATAGGTACTTCGTTGTACCACTATAATTATTATCACCTCTGCATAATTCATTTAGTTGTACATCAGAGGTCGCTGGTATTCTGCTGTTAAAAAGTCAGCTAAAACGAATTTCCAAAAATCATTTAAAAATTCGTATCCAAAATTATTTCCACGTTACAAAGCTAACGGACCAACTGAATCTGCAATAATCGACTAATTCATACCGAATAAGAAAACGTATTTAATCTCATTTTCGTATTAATAATAGTATTTACTAAGGGGGCCAAATGATATCTTTCAGATATTTTATTTTAAATAGGTACTTCGTTGTACCACTACAATTATTATCATCTGTGTATAATTCATTTAATTGTTCATCTGGCCCACTTGTGTCTCCAATAATCGTCTAATGCACACTTAGTAAGAAATCATATCTAAACCCACTTTCTTAACACTAGACCTAACAAAGGAGCCAACTGACCTGTCTCAAATATTTTATTTCAAATAGGTACTTTCTTGTACCACTAAAATTAGTATCATCTGTGTATAATTCATTTAATTGTTCATCTGAGACCGGTGGTATCCTACTATTAAAAAATCAACCAAAACTTCCAAAAGCCATTCAAAAACCCATATCCAAAATTATTTCCACGTTACAAAGCCAACGGACCATTTGTGTCTCCAATAATCGTCTAATGCACATTCAATAAGGAACCATATCTAAACCCAGTTTCCTAACACTAGATTTAGAAAAGGAGCCAACTGACCTGTCCCAAATATTTTATTTCAAATCGGTACTTCGATGTCCCATTTATTATCACCTGTATCTACTTCATTTTGCTGTTCATCAGAGTACTACTCCTGAAAGATCCAAACTCGAGCTAACCTCCAAACAAGCATCCATCTAACGCACCAAATCTATTTTCTCCCCACAGAATCGTCCAAATTAAGCCGTGTAATTGCACAATCTTCCAATCGAGTGAAAACAAATCCGTCATAAAAATCTCTGTCATAGTCTTGCGTCGTCCTCGCCATCTTGGTGGTCTCCGTGAGCACCGCGCCAGTGGACAACACACCGGTGCCTATCGTGGCCTACACTGCTGATGGACCGAACCCAGACGGCTCGTACGTGTTCAACTACGAGACTGGGAACGGCATCAAGGTGGAGGAGCACGGTCAGCTGAAGCAGCTGAACGACACGAATTCGGTGGTCGTCGTTCAAGGATCCTACAGTTACTCAGACGCCGACGGAGTCCCTGTGGCTTTGAGCTACGTCGCCGACGAGAACGGCTTCCAGCCAAAGGGCGAGCACCTGCCAACGCCTCATCCGATCCCAGCAAGCATCCTGAAAGCCCTGGAGTACATCGCCGCGCACCCGGAGCAGGACAACACTCGTTGATCGAGCGTCGGGCTGGACCGCAGTAGAAATAGGATATAATTGACGCGGCGATGAGTCGGGCGCGAGTCTCCAGACTCATCTCCATGCAGTGTATTTTTATAGACTTACTCGTTTTACCTACTTTCTCCGTTTTCGTCATCGAAACTCGGCGTTACCACCATCGCTGACAGTGTGCCGAATATTGTCACGCAGTGTTGCTTTAGGCGATGCAGCCATAAGTCTAGCGACACGTCGATGACGTTCATATAGAGTAATTGTGTAAGATGTATCTGTAAGATGTATATGTAATAAATGTTTAGGTAATTAAGTTGAATTTGCGTTTACCCTCTTTCTTCGACGAGGCTTCTGACACTTGTTGGGGTTTTGGTCTTGGTAGGCATGATCCTGATTGAATGATTCTTTTTTCTTTTCCTTTTATGTTAATAATTACAGGAAGTTGGTATCAAGATCTTCATGATGTCTCCAAGGGAGAGGTTTATATTGAGTGCTGTAATTGCTTAACGTATTCGAGTGGAGCGCTTGTTGCGAACTGACTTCTTTGCGTTGGGTTGTTTTGTGGTTCCTGATGATGGCTGATGTTCCTATGGTGCTAGCCTGTTGGTATCCTTCTGGTCGTCGTTGATATTGATAGGGTAGCAGGTAGAAGGACGACAGGAAAAGGAAGAGATGCGTTTCGTCCTGGACCTGCTAGCGGACTCATCGGTAAGGCTACCCTAGCAGGCCCTGCCTTAGACCAGGGATACTTATAGGTAGCACAGGAACTTCTATTTAAAGGAAGTCGAGGTTTCACCGAGGACCTCCTTCTAGTAGGAATCCATCTACTGACGAGGATGAGAACTTGGTCGCTACAATAATTGTAATGTCCTATTGTGGAAATATTGATGCACGAAGTTTGAATTTATTTTTATTATATTCTTCATTATGATCGACGCTATCTTACTGAGCTTGTATTATATCGTGACAATATAACTGCGTACTGTATTGTGTAGTATGGCTGCTATTAACCTCTTCACCTACAATATCATGCAAGTCTCGTGGAAAGGAAATCGGTTCAAACATAAATATCAGTAGCGGGAGGCGTAGCTCGTAGATAGGGTCCAATGTAAACATCACGGTTCAGGCTCTTAATTAATTTTCGCCGATGTTTTTCTGGCTCAGTTACGTGTTATTCTTCGACGCGTTCAGACCAGATTCCTCGACGTGTGACCGACCTTGTTGTTGACTATGGCACGCGCCATCGGAGCCTAAATGGTAAGGCAAGGCGTTAAGCTTATACGTTAATGGAATTATATTAATCATAGTATCATAATGTTATCATAGAGAGCATTGTCATATTATTATAATAATATTATTGTACAATGACATATAATTTATGAAATTATAGATGCATTGTTAGTATACTTATTATTTTGCATGTACGAAATTAATTATACAATTATAGGTATACTTTAGTGACATCACATTACGTAGTAACATATAATACTAGTATATTATAGGTTAGGTTAGGTAGATTATTTAGATTCTGAATTATCCTCATTTAATTATTTCTCGTTTATCTGAAAGATTTCCTATAATTATTGTATCAAGTATAGCATAATTAATGATATAGCTTATAGGTTAATAGAATTATATTAGTAATAATATTATAATAGTATTTTTGTACAATGACATATAATTTATGAAATTATAGGTACATTGTTAGTATACCTATTATTTTGCATGTACGAAATTAATTATACAATTATAGGTATACTTTAGTGACATCACATTACGTAGTAACATATAATACTAGTATATTATAGGTTAGGTTAGATAGATTATTAAAATTCTGAGCTTTTCTTATTTAATTATTTCTCGTTTATCTGAAAGATTTCCTATAATTATTGTATTAAGTATACAATAATTAATGATATAGCTTATAGGTTAACAGGATTATATTAGTAATAATATTATAATAGTTTTTTTGTACAATGACATATAATTTATGAAATTATAGTTTCATTGTTAGTATATCTATTATTTTACATGTACGAAATTAATTATACAATTATAGGTATACTTTAGTGACATCACATTACGTAGTAGCATATAATACTAGTATATTATAGGTTAGGTTAGGTAGATTATTTAGATTCTGAATTATCCTCATTTAATTATTTCTCGTTTATCTGAAAGATTTCCTATAATTATTTTACCAAGTATATCGTAATTAATGATATAGCTTATAGGTTAATGGAATTATATTAGTAATAGTATTATAATAGCATTATTATACAATGACATATAATTTATGAAATTATAGATACATTGTTAGTATACCTATTATTTTGCACGTACGAAATTAATTATACAATTATAGGTATACTTTAGTGACATCACATTACGTAGTGGCATATTATATTAGGATATTATAGGTTAGGTTAGGTAGATTATTGAAATTCCGAGTTTTCCTTATTTAATTATTTCTCGTTTACCTGAAAGATTTCCTATAATTAATTTACCAAGTATATCATAATGAATGATATAGTACAATATAATTAGATCACAATAATAAGTTATTGAATTATATTTTAAATTAAGAAATTATTAGAAGTAATATGGAGAGTTGAGGTGTGAATGGAGTGGACAGTAGTGTCATCATCTAAGCTACGGTACCAACTGATGACCACTGATCATTGGTTAGATAATTATGTTTAGATGTCATTTATTATCAAATTCGCGGAATTCGAGAGTCGGCTATTAATTCTCACTCGCTGATATATCGCGATTAATTGGCTTTTCTGCGAGTGCGTCGTCTAATAAATAAAATCAAGCTAGTCTCGCGTTTATTACGCCGAGAAAGCTGATCACACGTTGCATCGAAATTTTGTAATACATAATGCACGGCAGCAGTATCATAGAACAATACTGCATAATTGCATAATAGGATGATAAATTACGCTTGTGTTTAGACGCATGGGTCCGATTATCCATGCAGATTAGCCAGATCTTTCTTCGAAGAAATGATTAACACTTCTTGCGTCATGTACAGACGTCATTCGCAAATGAAGCCAGGGATTTAGGAATCGATCGTTGGAAAAATTCGAGATTTTCAATTAAACGAGCGCCTACTGTAATGTATTCACGTGACTAATGGTGTTTAATATTTAATCGTGGCTTTGTAATTAGAAATTTATCATTTGACCTTTCAAAGTTCCAATATTTCCATTTTGTATACTTGACAGTGGAATCATTATTGTCGGATTAATGATTAGATTAATTTTCTGATGACAGAGATCTGCGCGTCTAATAAACAACGACTCCGTTTTAATAACAAAACAGATTTATTTAACTAAAATATTACACTAGGTTTCTCTCCCTGTCTACAACGGAGAACCATTCCTCTTCCGAAAAATTGTACTACCCGACTTGGTTGTGCTCAGATTCGGTAATTTCCAACACTCCTAAATCGTTTCAATTGCTTCCACCACCCCATTTACTTCGTCTGATATTATTACAGGATTAGTGCTAGATTAATCCTATGCTGACAGAGATCTGCGCGTCTAATAAACGACTCCTTTTTAATAACAAAATAGATTATTTGACTAAAATATTGCACTAGGTTCCTCTCGACTCTAACTCTCAAACACACGATTCTCTGCTCACTACGTCTCGACTACGCGCATTCTGCCTCACCGGTACCCTTGCACCCTTATTTAGAGTCTAACATTCTCTCTTTCATACGCAAGCTCTCTTCGTTGATCACTCGTTTCCCACACGACCTCGCCCTTGGTGGGCCAGGTGCTTCAGACACTCGGACACGTTCCTGGACTTTCGTTCGTTGCTTGCACTCGACCTGGTCATAAATATCTCATCCATACAATTCTTGCACGTGGTCATCCGTCCGTTCGCATGCGCTCCAGATGATACCCTAAGCACCTAAGCCAGACCGGATACCGATCTTGACACTATGCTGTCTGCTCGTTTAATCAGAATTCTTTTGTTTGGCTCAGATATTACTGACTCATCATTTGCGCATGATAGCAACACTGCTGGTGTCACTGGCATGTGCGCGATAGTTTTCGCATGACACCAACGTGGTGTCTGTAATAACCAGACGACATAGTGTTAACCCTTTGCACTCGAGAGGCGTCTCTCAGTCGCCATTTAATCATATTCTAAAGATGGATGTTAATTAATATATCAAATTTACAATTATCCAACGATGAGTGGAATATCGAAGTAAAATTATTCTACGCCTTAAATTGCATACGATTTCTTATTCACCGTTTTAGAAATATCGTCGACCTTGTGGCACAAAGTCTTCGAATTACTATTTTCCTGTAACGAAAAAATCTCCGAGTGCAAAGGGTTAATACTGTTTCCATTGCTAGAGTCCTCAGTTCACGATACCACGTTATTTTCTATTTATACCGTATTTAGATAATCCTCGTAGAGTAATAATTCTAGTGTTAAATGTATTAAATAAAATATCGTATCTTGCAAAAATATCTGTAAGAGAATTTTGCTTTTAATCCAAATTTTACTTTTCATAGGTATACTATGGAGGGAAAATTGCAACAGAGGAGGTACAGCGATATGTCAAACGCCGTTTTATGGTGGTCCCGCAACCCTCGGTCGGATTATGATGGGGTGCGAGGCAGTTTCGTCCCCTGGTTTATGGCGAGCAAAATTCTTGGTCCCTGGCTTTATGATGTACCTCGCAGCAACATTCCTGATACAGATAATGCAGCATGAGAGGGTAAGCACGTGGATGTGATGAAATAACTGCACGATGTACTCGCGAAACAAGTATTGACAGTACTTATAAATTTCCTTATCAATTTTATTAATAACGAATAACTATATCTATAATTATTAATTTATATACATTAACTCGATTACTTAAAATATATTTAATTTAAATATTTCGATAACATTATTAGGCTGCCAGGCACGATTAATAAGAATTTTTGGGGTGTAGAGAAATAGGGGTGTAGAAATTAGTAATTGATGGATTCTTAAAATTGGTTAAGCA